ACACTCCTACTTTGTGGTACTACAACCACGTGCGATTTCTGGCAAGTGCTTATGGGAAAAAGAACAAAAATCCCAAAAAGCCGGTAACCTTCTCAGACGACTCAGACGAGGACAAACATTTCACTCCTGCTTTGTGGTACAAAACCCGTGCAAGGGCTTCGAGGAAAAAGAAGAAATGCAACAAAAAGTCCGAAATCCTCTCATACAATGCTACCAACGAGGGTCCGGCCCTAGATAATTCTAGTGGAAAAGCAATGAGTCAGCAATTGTCAATATCAAAAGCCGATTCGGGATTTCAGTCACAATATAAGCTCGATCTTACACACGACTCGTTTTCAGAAGAAGATCTTATATCAGATCTTGAGTTTGAAGCTGAATTAAATGAACAGACACAATCAGATAATCAAACGACTAGACGACCATCGAAAACGAAAGATCCACTTCAGTTTGCAGTACAGTCCGTGAGTCCTCCACTACGACAACCAATACCAGCTTCGCTTGCCTATAAACAAGCCGTGCAGCAACAACCAGCTACCAACAACGTGCCGCATTCTGGTCCAAGTCCACAAATCTGTAGTGGAGAAGAATCGAATATCTATGCGACTAGCTGGGCGACATCCTTCAGCCACCTGGACGCCACTCAGCAGATCTATGTGAAGCGTGCCATTGAGGAAGTGTTGTCCTTGGGCCAACTGTCTTCGCTCACATGGGACTCGGTGAAACAGGCCCGTCAAACAATGGACATGGCCAGATCCCACTACACGGATCTTGAGTTTTCCCAAATACCTATGGAATGCGAGTAGTAATTTGTCATTGTTCGAGAAATAAATCATTAACTTCAGCAGCAGTGGCTTAACTTGTGGCATGATTTCACATATTTGCACATTAATTAAATTTAAACTGGTACATTAGCTAAATACATCGTTTTGCACAGCAAATTATACTAAAATTTATTATTTCGCTAATCTTAACAAATTAAAATATATTACATTAAAAAAAAAATCAGTTTCTTTCGGTAAAATCATCGTACATACATATGTTGACAAACATTTAATATCAAAAGGAAATAACATACACGACTTCTGCTAAGCTAAAAAAAAGACCAAAAAATACCGAATAATGCGATCTTGATTGGAGCTATTATTTAGTGATGCGGTATTAAGCTTAAAATGGAATCGTTTTGAAATTTATTCGTCCAGTTCATTTTTTATTAGTGATGAATAAATTATGGATAACGAATGTTTGTCCCAGAAAAAATTTCGAATTCTTAATTGAGGACTGGAAAAATTGCTGTTGTTTTGTATGCAGTATTTATTTTCAATTTTAGCAACTATGGCTGTGACAATGCTGAGACGCCTAATATTCCACATTTGGATTTTGCAGCTGGTTCATTAAAAGCATTGAAAACAATTAGCATTTGGATTGCAGTTTGAAAGACCATTTTGTACCATTGTTCAGCAAACGAGTCAGTTGGAGTGGACTAGAGAGCGGCTCTCTACTGTTAACTCGCTCTCTCTGGCTCTCTTGTTTTTTGCTTGTCTGTTGTGAATTTGCCTTTAACTCTTAATTATGACGAAAATAATGCAGCTGTTCGTTATGGTGATGATAATGATGAAGATGTTGGCAATGTTGACGATGATGTTGATTGTGAGCTGCTACATCGAGAGCGCCGCTTCTATACGCGACTATGTACATATGCATGTATGTATGTATGTTCAAATGTTTGTACACATGTGTGAGCTACTTCGAGTCAATTTTGTGTTCATTGTTACTGTTACTGTAAGAATCTTTTGATTACAGCAGCAAAACAAAGACAAGTCCATGTCCTTTGCCTTGGTGGAAGGATTTTTATAGCTGTGACGCTGCGCTTTGATGAAATGCATGAAATTTTATGACTGTTATCGATTTCTTACACAAGTAAGAAAAGCCACTGAAAGTCTTACCAACTCATAAAGCTGTAATTCAGCCCAGCCCTTAAACCAGTGATTTAGTCAAGTGCCACAATAATGAACATTTTAATTAAAAAGTCGAGCCCTAAAAGTGTTATCGGCGCTATTGTTGTAGCTGTACTTGAACCATAAACATGCGTTGTGTGCGCAAGCTGTACTTTGCGAAAATTAAATTAGCTAACTGTGTTGGTTGTTATCGGCATTTTGATGTCACTTATGAATCGCAGCTGTATGTAAATCGGTCGTTGTAATCAGAGTCCAATAACGTAGGAAAGGTACACCTGCGTTACAAACATATTTTCACCTATACCTAGGCCACATGCTTATTGGTGCCTGCCATTGCACAATTATGTTGGTCTCCAAATAATCGCAATGAAACGCGCGTGGGTGAGTTTTCTAATTAAGGTTGATTTGCATGCGAAGAGAATCGGCCGGTTGTTTTCTGTTCGAGTGTGTGGGGTGGTTTGCGCTTTGTAGTCGTTGTTTATTGCTTTGCTGGCGAGCACTACAAATCGTACACGGTACTCCCATCCAAATTGACCTTTTTCTCTCTCTCCATCGCCACCCTCTGCTGTTGTATGGTTCCCCGCAATGCTCACGAGAGCGATAAGAGCAACAGCACTAGTAGCAGCAGCGCCAAATGTAAACAACGACAGCAACTCGCTTGCAGGTCTCGCCACATTCGTTGGGTTCCTCGTTCGCTCTTTCTCAATATACACATTAAAAGGAAACCTTCCTCACTTTGTCGGTCAATTTGTAACAACCTGTTTTTATTTAAAAGGGTTTAGTTTATGATTCATATGTTCATATATTAACAAACAATTGGAATACAGTCGAGCTAAGGAGTTATTTTCATAGAACAACAATATTTCTCAGAAGTACTGTGTCTATAGTATCTATTCATTATAAGAGGGCGTTTTTATTGGGCATCAATATTCTCCGTATTTTTTTTGTTCCAATATTTGTGGAAACAAACCAGTTTCTTATAGGAAAAATATAATTCTTTATGATAGCTTAATAATCTGGTATGATTGGTCTCGACATATCACATTATTCGTTAATGAAAATAAATCGGTGAAGTAGTGTATATACACACATTAAGTGTTTGCCAATTAAAAGCAATTTTTTGAAGATGAGACAGAAAAAACTTTTTTTATAAGGGAGGGTATGCCATCTTCGGTGCTCCGTTGATAAGTTTCATTCTGCGTTATTCGCTCGCGCGCTCGCTGGAGCGCCTAAAAGTGCGGTGCTGTTGTCGGAATTGCTGTGCGCCTGTTACTCGATTTGGTTGTTTTGGATTTCGTTTGTATGCGAGTGCGCTCGTTCGATTTGAATTCAAAGTGCAATTTGCTACGAGTAGAGACGCGAAGTTTCTTTCAAGTGCGGGCACACACACTCACCCAAAGACACGTTGGTTTTTTAATTTTTAAAGACTTTTCTTGATGCGTGTTTTTGTTGTTCTCTCGAGTTTTATATCTGGCTTAAATGCTGCACCAATTGCTTGTGTCAAAGTCACGCTCTGCCTGCAAACCAGTTTTAAGCCCTAAACATACACATACACACGCAAACACCTCTCCATACATATGTTTATGCACACTAATGCATACTAGGGATGGGCATGAATCGTGTTAGTTTTTGCAAGCTCGCTATTCAGTACAAATAATAGTAAGAGCAAAATAAATTATTTATTAAAAATTATTCGATAAAACTTTTCTAGACACTCTATAAGTTTCCATGAATTCGACGTGTTCATATTTTTATTTATTATTTTATTATTATTTTTATTCATTTTGTGGTCGTGTCGTGCCAGGCCGAAAAAAAGCCAACCTAAGCCCATCTCTAATGCGGACTCACTCATAACCTGGAGCGCTGTTTACAGCTTAATTTCCCTGTTTTGCTATTGTTGTTGTCGCGTTGAGTTCACGTGCCATACATGAGTTAGTTGTTGTTGTTTTGGCTCATTTGCGCTTATCGGCAACCACAGTCGGAGTCGGATTCGCAGTCGCAGTCGGACTCGCACTCGGCTGCTTGCTCGGTTTTTGTGGAGCTGGAGAGGGGGGCCCTTCGTGCGACCCAACGACCGTTGACTCCACGGCGCTCAGCTCCAAGTCAGAGTCGATTCGTTGTCGCCTGTTTGTCATTCATTCATTCGCATTCGCTACTCGGTAGCTTTGCGAACGGGTGCGCGCACAGTGCAATTTACAACAAAAACAGGAGCGTAGAATACAAAGAAAGAACAAAACAAAAAACAAATAAATGAAATAAAAATATACGACAGTAAGTCGCGCGCGCGCTGCTCATTTGCCTTTAATCAGTTGTTGCTCAGTTATTGTTGTTGTTGTTGTTATTGTACTAGGCTGTTTAACGTGCGTAATTGTTGTTGCCATTATGTACTACGTACAAGTATAGTATTTACTTTTTATGACCACACACATGTGTTGTTCTTAGTGGGTTCTCTAATCGAAAACGACTCACCAATCGCCACTAAACAGAATTATCGTTGACTTTTGCGTTTGTTTATAATTTATTTGTGTAGTATACATACATATGTATGTATGTATTATGTAGGGATTATTTATTTTGGTTCCTAAACACATATCTACGTTATATACTTTTTTGTTGCAAATTGGCACGTAGCAGTTTTTTTTTTTGCGTCAATGTTTCCTTATCAGCAGCAGTAGTTCTACATTCCTGTTGTAGCTTCCCAATTAAAAGTCTTGATCTTTTAGAAGAAAACAATATTATAAAATTTCTGACGGATTACCCTCATTTAAAATAAATGACACCAAATACAATTCTTATCATTTGTACTCTTTAAAGAAGAAACGAAACAAATAAATAAAACTATTTGTAGTCTTTAAAGAAGGAACGAAGGAAGGAAACAAAACCAATTACCATGGGAAATGACAAAGAGTTTTTATAATGGAAACAAGATGTATCTAGATCTTATGCATATTGTGCGCAATAATTTAATAATAATTCAATTAGTTTTTAAAATTAATTTTGATTTCCTGGATTTCTTATGTTCTTATCCGTTTTATATTATTACAGATGCTTCCAGATGCGTTCCAGCCCAGTTGCATTTACGTCGTTACATCATAAGCCTCGCCATGTAGGAAAATATCTTAATTTTTGAATCTTCCAATATATCTGCTTTAAATATTGAGAAATCGTTCGTGAATGCTACTAGCACTAGCAAAGAAAGAAAAAAAAAAAACAGCTTTAAATTGAACAACAACATCAAAACGCTTGAACGTGTTTGCTGCTGCTTGTCTTGTTCTTCGTGATTTCGTCGTCAGCGTTGTTTCTCTCCGAGATCGGAAAGCAGCAGCCGCCCACGAACGAAACAAAGCGAAGCAACGAGCCCAAGCAGAACGCGAACGCGCACCACGGACGCATTTATGGATGCGGGCGGCCTGCCAGTGTTTCAGAGCGCCAGCCAAGCAGCAGCAGCCGCCGCCGCCCAGCAGCAGCAACAACAACAACAACAGCAGCAGCAGCAGCAACAACAACAACAGCACCACCAGCAACATTTGAATCTCCAATTGCAACAGCAGCAACATTTGCAGCATCTGCAACAGCAACATCAGCAACAACAGAGTCTGGGAATACATTTGCAGCAGCAACAGCATTTACAGCTACACAATGCACAGGCGCAACAGATACAAGTGCAGCAGCAGCAACACGTCACACAGCAACAACAACAGCAGCAGCAGCAGCAACGACAACAACAACAACAGCAGCAACAACAACAACATTCGCCATACAACCCCAGCCTTTCAGCGACAGGCGGAATTGTCGGCGGCCTTGTCGCTGGCGGCAACGGAACTGGCGGCGTTGCGCCTGCAGGAGCAGGACCGAACACAAACAACAACGGGAACGGCGGCGGCAACAATGGCAACAACACAAACGGCGGCAATGGCAACAACGGCAACAACAATCCAGGCAATGGCCCATCACCTGGAGACGCAGTGCCGGCTAAGCGGCAGCACATGGTCGAGCGGCTGCGTCGCCGCATGGAGAATTATCGGAAGCGGCAGACGGACTGCGTGCCGCGCTACGAACAAACCTTCAATACTGTGTGCGAGCAACAGAATCACGAGACCACTGCACTTCAAAAACGTTTTCTCGAAAGCAAGAACAAACGTGCCGCTAAGAAGACTGAGAAGAAACTCCCGGAGCCTCCAGCGGCAACGCAAACGATGCTAGCAGGACAGCTGCAGAGCAGCGTACATGTGGTGAGTGCAAGTTTCTATTCCACCCATTAATTGGTCAGTTCGATAGGTGGGGAACTCTATTTGAATGCCTCGAATTTTACAGACTCCTTCTAGAAAAAGGAATATTGGAAATATTGCTAAAATGTATGATGTGATTAAAACATTTATATTCGCCCAACTATTGGAAAGCTTTGGAAGGTTTCTTAAATAGTTCTGAGATATACTAGTGTTCAATTTAAAGACCTATCTTAGTACTTTCATTATTTCTTAAAACCTTTTGTTTGCACTTAAATTCCTTTCGACTATATGAAGTTCTATATTTACGGATCCTTTAAACACTTTGAACTGTTTGATAACGGTGAATACTTCAATTATAATACCCGACTCGACCAATCATACAGAAATTTAGTATCGAATGGGTAACAGATTTGGTTTTGGAAACATCTATAATTAGATAATTCGAAATATTTAATTGTGTTTGAAAGAAAGAAGGAATGCTTTTAATATTATTAGGTTTTCTTGTATGCGATATGCGTATGCGATATCTCGTGAGTAAAATCCTACGTGTAAACAAGAATAAGAGTAACACTTCATGCTGAAGTTAGTTTTTTTTCTAGCATGTTTTTATGTAGCCTTCGAATTAAATGCGAATACATTCGGCTCGCTTGGCAACTCTAGTCGAATATTAGATTTTATAAAATTTGAAATGTGGACGATGGCATAGGAATTTAAAAACTTCAAACTTGGACCATTGTGAATTAACTGCTTAACTTGAATTGGAATATCTGGCGCTATTTATTCAATCAGCTTGCCCCTCGAACTTCTTGATATTTGAAGCTTTGGCCTGTTTCTGTCTTAAGCGTGGCTTTAAAGTATTTCGCATTCAACTGTAAAAGTGAGCAGTGAATAGCCGGAGCGGAATTGCGAAAGTCAAGCCAGCGTCAGGCAGCTCAAAATGTATCTTGCAGATACTTTGGCATCTCGGCAATGCTTTTGTGCTTATTATGTGAGACGCTATATTATAGTACATACATAGAGCATACACGAAACGCTCAAAAAAGTAAGCAACAACAACAGCAACAACAAATAAATAAAAAGGCAAGCAGACAACAAACACAAACTGCACATACATTACATACATATGTACATATATATATGTATGTACATATATACACAAAGTAATATAATGAGGTCAGCATTTTTCGGTTTGCAGTTTTCGGTTTTCAGCAGTCAGTTCAGTTCGGTTCGCTTCGGTTCAGTTTCACTCGCATTCGCTGCGCCAACTTTTAGATACTTTTAGATTTGTACCTACGGCGGATTGACTTACTCTGCTCTGGCCCATGTGCATGCATTTTAAATACACCTTGAAACTGCTCGTATTTGTAAGCTCCCCCCCCACCAAAAAAAAAAGTAATCACAGATTTTTCTCGACGAAACTCCAAAGACGACGGCTTACATCATGTGGCGGACTGACGGCGGGTCGACTCGACTCGACCGACCATCGCTGCTGACTGATTGCAACTCTAGTTTATATAATTGTTGGTTCTGCTGCTTTCCGTTCGCCGATTGCCGTACGCCGTGCGCCTAACTGTTGCAATTCTAGCTAGAGACCCTCAAGTAATCGCTGCAAATTTACAAAGTTGTTGTCGATGTCGCTGTCGTCAGCGACGTTTTTCACTACAGGTGAGCTCCTCTATAAAGTCCACACAGCTGGCATGCATTGGCTGTGGAAACTAGATTATTGTATTATCTTATCCTATAAAGGCAGATTTCGGATATTGTGGGTGGTATTTTCTTATTTCTATTTCTTTTAAATCCGATATGCTATCGTTAATTAGAACATGTTTGTTAAAAAGTCAAGTAACAACAAATGCTGGATATTCTATTTAATTTGACTTTCAAGACACAAACAAACTAACAACAAATTTTGGTAATAGTACTATTTATTATGACGTTCAAGATCTACTTACAAATGCTGGAAATACTATTCATTATAACATTCAAGTCCTCTTTATTTATTCATGAAATATATTTTTTCCAATCCTTAAAGCAGTCCGAAAAATTCATTTTCTGGATTCGCTTTCAGCACTTTCGGTGGTTGTAGAACGATATATGTACGTCTTGTTTATGATGAAATGACCACAAAGAAGAAGAGTAGTGCTGCAGTATTTTCAGAACCAATTAAGATTTGACTTTTACGACTGATTTTTCGATCCATTAGTAATGCCAGCAGTCTTTTTAATCCTGTTAGCCTGTTCTGCCAAACTTCTTTGTATGTATGAAAGCTATGAACAATATGGAGTGAATATTTGAAACTCGGGCCTGGAATTTGGAATGTGAATTCTTTCCTAAGTAGGCATGATTTTAAAAACAGCTGACAGTGCTGCCAACTCAAAAATAAAAACATTTGGACCCATCGATCATAATTGTATCAGCATATAGTTGATGTGTTTAACCGACGTTCGACTGTTGAATTGTGTGCATAGGTTTTAAGTTGAGTTTCTAATTCTTGTATCAGCATCTTTGCTGCCGTTCTTGTTGTTGTTGCTGCTGCTGCGCCAGTAAGCAAACGTGAGTAATTCGAGTTTTGACTCGCCCAGCTACTTGCCTCGGCGCTGTCGCGCACTTTTTCCGCATCCGCTTGCAATGTCATTTGTGTCATGTACGCGCCACAGCTGTAATCATTCACTTTTCAGTCAGTTAGTCAGTCAGTTAGTCATTGAGTCAGTTGTCGATTCATTTTTAACTTAATTTTAATTGGATTGAGGGGCTTTGTGCTGGCTACTGTGCGTAATGCAAATTTTTTCCAAGTTACAATTGCTTCTGAATCAGTTTTATTGTTTTCTGCTACTCTCTTAAAGTTAAGCGAACCCCCATACGTATGCATACATACTATTTACTACACTCGTATATAGATAAAGAACATCTGTGCTTACTTTTTTTGCTTACTTTGCAGCCCCAATTAGTTGTGTATGTTTCATTTCAATTTGTTCCTTATTTATTAAAATCCATTGCTAGGGAATAAAAACGAAACATGTTTTTCCCATTCGATTTCACTTCATTATTATTCCACTTCACTCGATTTTGACTATTTCAAAATGATTCCAAACGATTTTATTACATTATGGATTCAATCGTGTTAGTTTTATGGAGACATTCCACATCGGCACGTTTCATAATTTAATTTACAGACTTTAAACAATCAGTCATGTCAACCGACTGGAATATTACGACCGTTCTGATTATGTAGATTTTTCTGGAAATTTGTGTACAAATAAATGAAAGAGTAATTCAAACCATCAAGATAAAATGTTTGAAAAATATTTCTATTATTATATTACTTGTATTCGAAAGATTCAATAGGAAGGGAGCTCATTCCTTTTTGAAATATACTACTGTTTCATTTGTAGAACTACGGGGAAAACTGGTTAGGCGTTCCTCTTTTAAATTTCTTGTGAAATGTCCTTCCACCCGGAAACAGAAGAAACTCTAGGTAATCAGAGTAGAAAATTCTGGCCCGTTCTCAATGCCTCAATTGAATTTAAAACGTAATGCTGCACTATAATCTCGCAGGTTCCACTTTTTTCTTAAAACTTATCTTGTCTGTCTATAGTCTTTAAAATCTTTAGTCTTTAGTTTAGTCAGGGTATGCAGCTACTTATAAAGGAGTTGGAATAACATTTTCAAACGTCAACTTTGATCAGAAATTGTTGGTTGATTGAATATTTAAAAGAAAAGAGATTACTATTATAGTTTTATTTATTTGTGGTACATGCCAGCCAGCAGCAAATTTAAATCAATTTTAGTTGATTAGTTTCGTATTACTTGTATATCCTAAGCAGGCTTAGAAAAGCTAATAAAAAGTTGAAAGTAATCCCCGGAGTCATTTGTTTCACTTTTTTCTTTAATATACAAACTAATTAATGAGAAACTGTCCGATCGGCATGTGGGGCCTAATCTAAGCTTTTCACTTTTCTTTTTCTTTCATTTTTTCGTTGCAATTTTCTTTTGCATTGAAAACGAACTTTTACTAAAAATTTGTTGCCGTTGCTGTTGCTGTTGTCGCTTCTGCTGCAGCGCTTCAGTGTAGTTGTTGTTGTTGGTGCTGCTGTTGTTGCTGTTGCGGTGGCAGTGAAAATCGTAAAATTACCGCCAACAATCAGCAAGCGGCCGACGCGACGCGACGCGACGCGTCGTTTCGGGCACACAGTCAACCAGCAGAGCAAAGCAACGAACCATCAACTAGCCGATGAACGCAGCAACTGCCAACCAACATTGCAACATGCAAAACAAGAAAGCAGCAACACCAGCAACAACAAGCGGTCACAGAAAAGTAAAACATATTGTTTATAATGCGTTTTTATTTGGGAAAGTCGCGTGTTGCTGCTTTTTGCTTTTGTTGCCACTTGCATCCCTTCCCCCACATCGACGCGTTTGCCCATCGTTATTGTTTTTTTCTTCTTCTTCTTCTTCATTGTTTGCATTTTGTTGTTGCCAATTTTCACTTCATTGTCGCCCCTCCCGACGCCCTCCCCTGCCATTACCTCGTTGCCAACACCAACACCACTACCATCACCATCACCATCACAGTCGTCAGTTGGCGTTGTCGTGTGGCATTTTCTGACAGGCGTCAGTCAAAGAGTTCGAAGCACACACAGGCACACACACACATACACACGCAACGCACACACACATACGTACATATATGTATGTATGTATATAGGAAAATGTAAGTGCATTCACGGCTACAAAGTAGCTCTATGCTGTCGCGCACAAGTGTACAATTTGATAAACTTGTGGGCTAAATGCAAGTGTTCGGTTTGAGCATAGGAGAGTTTATGGAGTATATATGAAGTATATACTCGTATATACTTGTAATGGCATGGTCAGACAAGCAGCAAATAGTTTGCACATAATGCACCAAATTTGTTAGATAGGCACATAAATATTAGTTCTGACAACTACTCTATACTCTTTACTCTTATAATTTGTGTGCAACTTATTTGTCCGTCAGGCAGAGG